ATTTAAACATTGGATTGCAAACTAAATTAACATACAACATTTTCAAAGTGCATCTTCCTGCTTTTCATTTTGCAAATCACAGCAGTGATGTAGCAACCCACTGCAACTGGAATTAATTCCAGACAAGAATGATTAAACACTAAATGATATCAAATAGTTAGTCACTTTATAAAATTCTGTAATTGTAATGACTTTTGACAACCACTGGTTTTGATTATTCTACATTCGGTTAATATATAAAATACGCAATCAAATCACAGCATTTGTGATGTGCAAGTTAAATTAGAGAACAATAAACAAGGAAATTAAAGAATCAATAGCAGCCATCTAAATGCGTTAAACTTATGGAACAATACAAAAATACAAACAGATCTTAAATAAGGCTTTATCATATGATCCTTATGTAATACAATACAAATGTAATAATGTATAATTACAACTCCTATTTAGAGGACATGTTAATCACATTCAAAATGATTATAAAAAGAAATAATGTATAATACGCTGTCTTGATGGCAACTCAGTCTAAAATAAGAGGAATTAACTGTTCAGGATTTTATAGATGTTCACAGATGTAAGCTAAGTTTGGGGATTCCACATTAAGGACAATCACCTGAGAAAATTACCATTCTTATACAACTGCACTCTTGAGGAGCAAAGCTGGAACAAGTATGCATAACAATGGGACTCAAGATTGGGTGATGGGGACTTAATTTTCCTTTAAAAAGGAAAGTATCCTTGTTCAGGATCCTTTTATATCCTTTGTACAAAACTGGTAAAAACACATGCCTGCTTCTCTGTTTTATTTTCTGTTTCAGAAAATTTCTACTGAGGTCTTGAAGAAAAATATACAAAATTGTGGCAAGGACACACATCTGCCATTATATTAAAAAAAGCAACATCAAAGAAAAATATATTTTATAATCAGAGATGACCTTTAATACTGTAACACTGTTCCTTCCAAACATTTGTAACGTAATTTATAAGAGTGATGTACATAATGCTGGTGCCATTTGGGGGCAACCTTCATGCATATAGAGATTATCCTTTGAGTCTTAATGTATGAGATTACCATTGAATTGTCAGGTAATTCATCAGAAAAACAAAACTGTCAATCTATGTCACACTTGGTGCTTAGAAAGCTACAACTCAAAACTGTGCTCACTGATCAACACCAATTTACTCATGCTATTCTCAGATACTGGTCCCATCTATTACTTAGATTCTTGTTCATTACAATAGAACATCATTAGATTTTGATTCTATTAACTTAGGACTATTTTATAAACATTACTCCTGTTACCGTGTATTAATGATTTGAACTAAAATTCAAATGTCGAGCTATTGTTCATGGCATTTACTTGTGAAGGACAATCTCCAGTGCTGGAAAATAATGAGGTCATTTATGAATTAAAAAAATCCTTGCATTTGATACAGCACCTTTCATGTCATGAGGGTATTTAAAAGCGCTCACAGGAATTACTGTAGTGACTGTATTTTGAAGGCAATTACAATGGAAGGAAGATGTTGACAGTTACTTACATTTTCTATATAGATTTTCTTTAAAACTCAATTTTGTTCAGGGACGTATGATTTGACATTGTGCATCAGAACACCACAACAAGGATATTGTACTGCTTGATATGTCAACTATAATCCTCAGAGGCTGTGACTGGGCTTATTTACATTCATCCCACATAAAAACTGATAAGACAAGGCCTTATATTAAAAAGAAAAATGTCTTATTTAATCAAAAAAAACTTGTTGTATTTGATTAAGTTCATCACTTGCTATAATCCTGGCTGTATTGGATAGGGAGATAAGGACACTGTTTTTTTAATGTTTTATAAAGAAAACTGCTGACGTTTGTTTTCATAATAAGGAAGATGCCGCAAAAGATATTTAGATTTTTAGTCCTCTTATCAGTTTGAGAAACTGCTTGATTTGTTAGCCTTCGGTCACTTACTAGGGTAAAACAAAACTATAGTTGATGAAACCAGCCCCATCTGGAGTTTCAACTGAAGAGTGTAACAAGTAGAATATCCTAAGATATTTGTGAACTTAGAAAGTGAGAGTGGCATGGTGGACAACACAGGTCCTGCACATTGCTCCAGTCTGAATCTTATATTCAGGTCCAGTTTTCTGTCATTACTTACTTCTCCTCTCCCAAAGGCACTTGACTCCTTGCTTCTTATGGGATTCAAGTCCACAGACAAATGTTGATACCAGCTCCTCGTGGTCATTATTCATGTGTGAACATGAACAGGCTTTTCAACAACACAGAGATTGTAACCAAACCCAAGCCTTCCTCACCCACCTTGCAAGACTATCAGGACTGGGAACACTGATGAATTTCTTCCTCCCTATCTAAGACCAATTGGAAGAACTCAAGTGCTGCCCCAGTTGAAATCAGCTGTTTCAGCATAAACCCAGACACTGGAACCTGCAACTGTAAAGCTTGAATTGCTAGCCTTGACTGTGCCTTCACTAACTGGACCACAGGAGAGGTTACTTATTTCTAACAATCACTGAGTTTTCTTACAACCAGTCAATAGAATAATAAGAAATAAACAAAACACTATGGATTCAGGCAAATTAATATTTATACATGATAGGTAACATACAGGTGCTGTGCATTTCCTCAAATACAACTGTTTTGACAGGGTGATTGTACCTGGAGCAAGAACATATGAAAAACTAGATCTATTCAACTGATCCACTCATTCACCTGCCTAACATTTTTATTGTGATGCATCTTCTGAATAATTCTCCATCGTTTGCCTTTTGCTGTACCAGGCAGAGGTCATGGAAGCTATCATTGTTTTGATGCTGCCAAAGCTGACATTGAATTCACCTTACAAACTTCCTTCCACCTGTTTTTTGTTTAGAATTGGGACTAGTACGTATAACATTTTTCACACAAATTCCTTTCATTGTTGTTGGTTTTCATTCAGCTGATTTGTCTTGCAATGTTATTTCCATTAGCAGCATAATATTACAGTGTATTAAATGGATAAATATTTTGTGTCTAACACAATGAGCTCATTCCCGATCATTTTACTCGTACATTAAAAGGGAAGGCCTGTTTCTTTTTCTTAAACACAGCCAATAGTCATCAATTCTATTCAGAGAAGCACAGTGAATCATTTGTTACAAAAAAAACACAGGTGAATATTAATTTCCAGAAAATCTGCTTGCTGCATTTGAGCTTCATTTGGCCATTCTCTTAAATACAATGTTATGGCCATGTTTTGTTGCAGATGATAATATTCCACATAATTTATATTTCACCGAGAGATAACCCATATTAAAATGTAGTGAGCTTGTGTTAGAAAAACCTCTGAAAACCATACACACTAGCTGCACATTTCCAATAAAACAAAACATAAAAATTGTGATATGAGGGAAGATCAGCAATTTTACCATTTTTTATAATTAGCCAAACAAAAGCATCTCTGTGCCACCAAAATATCTTGTTCACACAGTTTCCACTATCCTTGGCGGTTGTTATAAGAGGGAGGAAAGATACCAAAGGCTGTCAAGGAGACCAGCAAACCTTCCCCTGAACAATTGGGGAAAACTTCCACTTGGATCTAGATTTACCCTATTTACACAGCATTTCAGAGTATCCAGAATCTGGTAATCTCTTAAATACAGCCTCAATTTTGAAGCTGTTTCCTTTTAAGAAACTACAGAAAACCAGGTTCAATGTTAACACCGAATTCCACCATTTGCCAAATAATGGTGGTCTCAGCACAAGAGTAAATCTAGATCCAGGTGGAATTTCTCCCCCAAATGTGCCGCCTATTCCCATTAACCCATTACTTTCCCTTAGCAATGTCAAAATAACACAGGAAAACGCCGGGCAAGGTTAGAGCAAGCCCGGACTATGCATTAGGGATTGATGCTGGAGTGTATGTGTGTAAATAAAACTGTTCCAATACAGGGCACGTAATGCACACTCGGAGGGGGGTGGAGGGGGGTGAGGGGGGGGGGGGGGTGTATGTCACCAGCAAATTATCAGTCGGAAGGTAGTCAAAACTAATAAATAACATTTCAAACTCTGCCACCCCACCCCCTCCTCTCTCCTCTCTCTTGGGATCGGGAAAACAGGCGAAAATCACCTTTGTAAGTATATTGCGGTCGAGGATATCATCAATAATCATCAATAATATCACCCAACAACCCCAGCAGCATCAGTCCTGCCATTTCCAAAGGATTGTGCACCGCCCGGTGGTGTTCCCCCTCCTCGCTCCCTCCCTCCCTCCCTCCCCTCCCCCTGACCATTTCCCCCAATGCTCGGGTCCTGACCCAACTGTCCAGTGCCTTGGGACATCCTCCCGACATGAAAGGCGCTCTATAAATGCAATCTTGTTGTTGTTGTTGCTGAACGCACACACCAGGAATAACGCCCTCCTCTGTACTCAGCAAACACACCGCTTGCACTTTCCAAGAACATGTCAAGAACAACCCTCCCAACCCTCCCTCCCTCCCTCCACACCAAAACATCTCGTGCTGTACTTACATCAGTGCTTTTCAATGTTGACCTGTTATTTAGAGGGTGGGGGGAGGGGGGGTTTGGTCCGAAACATCCCAATGATCACCCCGGGGTGGGTGGGGGGGGGATGTGGGGAGGGGGCACACGAGCAATTGGGACTGAAATATTCGACTCAAAAACGTCCCGACCCAGACTTGCCCTGATATTGGGGGGGGAGGGTGGAGGGGTTGGGGGTGGGGGGGGGGGGGGGGGAGGGGGTGAGCAGGATATCAGTGTATGTATGTGTTCGGCACAGGATGGGTTACTGCCTGTGGACCTGGTGCTAACTCACACCGAGCCCGCGGGGGAGCACTGAGAGCAGAAAGGAAGCATTAACCCTTTTGGTGTGTCTGGAACAAGGTTACAACTTTATCATAACTCCGCTTTTTTTTTTTTTGCCCCTTAACCTCCTCGGATGGGACTGTGTGGATGAGCTGTGAGGGGTGGTGGTGGGAGGTGGGTGGGGGGGGGAGGGAGGGAGTTACACGGCGCCTCGCAGGGTCACCTTGATGCTGAAAGGTTTGGGCTTTAAGGTTAAGCCGTAGTCAAAATCCAGAGTGAGCTCCTCTGTGGGATTGCCGGTGATGGTGCACTGGTGCATCAGGATGGAGGTGAAGAGGAAAAGCTGCATCTTGGACAACTCGTCGCCGATGCAGCGCCTCTTGCCCAGAGAGAAGATCATCACCGAGCTCAGCAGGTCCTGGTTCAGGCTCCCGTTCTCGTTCAGAAACCTGCCCGGGTCGAAGGTCTCCGGCTGGAGCCACTTGTCCGGGTCGTGGTTGACCGACCACTGGTTGACGAAGACCACGGTGTCCTTGGCGATGTGGTAGCCGTTCAGCTGCGTGTCCGTGGTGGTGCAGTGCGGGATGGTGATGGGCACGAAGCTGCTGAACCGCAGACTCTCGAAGAGGAAGGCCGTCAGGTAGGGCATGTGAGGCTTGTCGTCGATGGTGGGGATGCGATCCCTGCCCAGCACCCTGTCCATCTCGTGTTGGAGCCGCTCCTGCACGTCGGATCTCCAGACCAAGAACAGGATGATCCAAGTGAGAGCCGTGGACAGGGTGTCCTGACTGGCCCCGAAAATGTCGGTCACCGTGGAGTCCACGTACTCCCTCTCCAGTTTGACCCCTTTGTCGCTCACCGTCTTCTCGTAGTCGATGATCTGGATGAAAGCGTCCATGATGTCTCGGACCGTGTCGGCCCTGAAGGTCTCCCGGTGCTGCAGAGCCTTGTCCCTGATGAAGGTGTAGAAGTCGCGGTTGAGCCCCTTGAAGTTCTCGAAGACCGCCCTGACGGGGTTGGGGAAGTACTGGAGCCAGGGCATGACATCCACCAGACTGCCCGCTCCCACCGTCTTCCCGAACTGGTCGTTCTTGGACAGCAAGGACAGGAACTCCTGATCGTCGTGGCTGTACCTCTTCCCGAAGCAGAAGGCGCTCATCACGTTGGCCACGGCCACCACCAGGTTGCTGGTCGGGTTGAAGTAACCCGCGCTCTGGCTCTTCTCCACGAACAGCTGGATCAGCTGCTGGACCTCCCCCACCACGTGCCTCTGGAAGGTTTTCTTGGTGTCCGGGTTGTTGGTGGAGAAAGCCCTGACCGTGGAGTGGGCGATTCTCCTGTGGAACTTCCACCGGTCGCAGTAGCTCCTGAAAGCCAAGCTCCTGCCCCCGGAAACCTCATTGAAAGAAGCGAAGTCGGGGCGCCCGGAAAACTGCTCGGCTTTCCTGACCAGCGCCTCCCTGATGCACTCCTCTCCATTCAGGACCACCACGGAGCGGCTGCCCAACTTGATCTGGAAGACGTTGCCGTAGCGCCGGGCCATCCTGGAGAAGGAGATGTGGGGGACCTTGCCGATCTGAGTCGCGTTGCCGATGATGGGCCAGGGGAAGGGGCCAGGCGGTCTCCTCCGGCATTGCTCCGACGGCTGTTGCATCCACTTGCAGACCTGGAGCAGCGTCAGCACGACCAGCGCCACCGCCAGCACCGGCTGCATGGACTGCGTGAACTGCCCCGCCAGCACCCGCACCGCGTTCATCGCCGCCGCCGCCGCTCAAAACACCCCCTTTCGTCGGTTCTCGCCTTGTTCGAGCGATAAGTTATTTGCTGAGCTGTCCCGCCTGCATCGCCTTCACATCAGACTAGTAGCTTCACGGTTTGAGCAACAGTTGTCAGCTGCAGCTGTAATATATATATATATGTATATATATATATATATATGAATGCACGCATAAGCAATAACTATCCTGGCGTTTTTGCTATATTCCTTCAAACAAGTTGTCAACGACAGGAGCACTCGCTGTATTGCAGTAAAGGTGAGACGGGCATCGTCCCTGCGGACCGCATGTTGCAGATCACTGCAGAATATCCCATTAAAACTGGTGGGCACTTCACTAAACTCGGCTTCATGTACTCTGGCAGAGGTTCTGCGGGTTGCAAGCGGGTTTTAACACTTACTCCCTACGGTCACATGTCAGCACCTAAAGGTTCATTAAGTCATCAACGAATCGGATCACTCCATAAATCACCTCGGCAGATAAAACGACCTTCTCTCCCCCCCCCCCCCCCACCCCACCCCCACCCTCTCTCCCCCCCCCCCCCCCCCCCCACCCCCACCCTCTCTCCCCCCATCAGAGCGGCAAAATAAACATGTTGTCTCTGCAAGATGGTTCTCTCTGTGAGAGAGACTGACTGCATCTCAGCTTCAGTCCGAGTTCGGATCTGCGGGTAGAAAAGTGTTTAAAACTCCATGTGAGAGTTTGACGCTGATGTCTTGCGAGTTGCGTGCGGGACTCGCATTGCCACAACTGTGGGGACCATTTAAATGTAATCTCAGTCACTCCACTATATCATAACCTGATACTAGAAGTGGATTTCCCGTCCAAAAAACACAGGAGATCTGACAAGAGTTTCTGTCTGTGATCTCTCCTCCTGTTTCCTATGGCAGTGACTTGGTCTTTAACACAGTACACGAGATGTGAATGTTTTTATTACTCAGCAACGGTTTAAATGGATTAAGGGTTTATCGCAAAACCCGCAGTTAAGATCCTTCTCTCCTTTTATTTCTCCGCAGATCCCCATTTTGCTCATCCCTTTCATTGCAGCAGATATTTATTTTTTTTAAAAATATGATTCAGTTCTCTCGATTAATTTAACCCCCGAAGCGAAAAGCAGAGAAGCGAGACAGCAACGTGAGGGCTGTCGGTGAATAAGATTAATTTTAATGTAGTCATTATAATGTTACCAGCGATGTTACTCATGTCACACATCACGATCCTTGTTCTCCTTCCTCCCCACCGCCGCCACAGGCAATGTGCAAAACCGGTGTCGATGGCTGATCTTTTAAATAAGAAGTCACTCTCGGTTTCTCTCGGGATGTTCCTCCGGAGAATGAAACTCTCAACCTCTTTCTTTTCGGCAACTCGAGTCCTGGAGTCCTGGAGTCGTTTCTGCCGCAATTGCAGTTCGGTTTTCCTGGTCACCTCTGCCCTGTGTGTGTGTGTGTGTGTGTGTGTGTGTCTGACCTCATGATCCCAAACTGACCCGAAACATCAAATTGCGCACTTTTGCTCCATTTGTCAGTGGGATGTGAATGTGTAGTTGGGGCTACACACCACATGTTTCATCCCTCTCTCCCCCCATTTGCAACAGCGGCGAAGGCTGACTGCCCTGCCCTGCCCTGCCTGCCCTGCCCTGACTGCCCTGCCCTGACTGCCCTGCCCTGACTGCCCTGCCTGCCCTGCCCTGCCCTGACTGCCCTGCCCTGCCCTGCCCTGACTGCCCTGACTGCCCACCCGGGCTGCCCTGCCTGCCCACCCGGGCTGCCCTGCCTGCCCTGCCCTGCCCACCCTGCCCTGCCCTGCCTGCCCACCCTGCCCTGCCCTGCCTGCCCACCCTGCCCTGCCCTGCCTGCCCACCCTGCCCTGCCCTGCCCTGCCTGCCCTGCCCTGACTGCCCTGCCCTGCCTGCCCTGCCCTGACTGCCCTGCCCTGACTGCCCTGCCTGCCCTGCCTGCCCACCCGGGCTGCCCTGCCTGCCCACCCGGGCTGCCCTGCCCTGACTGCCCTGCCTGCCCACCCTGCCCTGCCCACCCTGCCCTGCCTGCCCTGCCCTGCCCTGCCTGCCCTGCCTGCCCACCCTGCCCTGCCCTGCCTGCCCACCCTGCCCTGCCCTGCCCTGCCTGCCCACCCTGCCCTGCCCTGCCTGCCTGCCAACCCTGCCCTGCCCTGCCCTGCCTGCCTGCCCACCCTGCCCTGTCCTGCCTGCCCACCCTGCCCTGCCCTGCCTGCCCTGCCTGCCCACCCTGCCCTGCCCTGCCTGCCCACCCTGCCTTGCCCTGCCTGCCCACCCTGCCTTGCCCTGCCTGCCCATCCTGCCCTGCCCTGCCTGCCCACCCTGCCTTGCCCTGCCTGCCCACCCTGCCCTGCCCTGCCTGCCCACCCGGGCTGCCCTGCTGCTGCTCACACTGCAACCGTACTCCCGGATTTGCGCGAAGGAAACCAGTCCAACCGCTGCCCTGCGGCTCCGCAGCCCACCCGAGCCCACCCGAGCCGAGCCGAGCTGAGCCGCGCCGCGCCGCTCCCCGGGGTCGGTCGGGTCTGTTCTCTCGGTCAAGACCGACCGGCGGATGTTTGAGCCACACAGTGAGGAGCCGGAGCCGAGCCCTTGTAACCCCCGGTTTCTTGTTGGGTTCGTGAATGAACACTCAGCGCTTTTGCCAAACCCCCAATTAAAGCAAAACCTCCACCGTCTGCAGCTCAGTCACTCCCCACACAGGTTTGGGTGCTCCAGACCCGCTTGTGGGAGATATTCCCCCAGGAATCACTCACTCAGGACATTTCTGCCCCCCCCCCCGCCCCCCCCCCCCCACCCTTCAGTGACTTAATAATAATAATAATAATTGTCACTATAATGATTTCCTTTTGCATAATATACTGCAAATTGTGAGTATGTTCGACTGTCTGCCTCTGCAGTGAGCCCCGGGGCTGTCTCACTGACTTTATTACACCCCTTTGTTTGTCAAATGATCGATCGTTCCCCTCCGGCACCTGTTTTGAGACGGTTTCGAGTGGGTTATTCCGGAGGATTAAACCAAACCGTTAAACCAAACATTAAGGCGCATTTGTAAGCCATGGTTTTGCGGGCACTGGGTGGAGCTCCTCGCCTTACCGCCTCCCAGGCTGAATGCTTCTCAAACACTCAACAAGGAAGCATCTGAGGTTTTGGGGTTGGTTGGATGGGGTGGTTGCATACACACCTGTACGAATATTATTTTAAATAGAGATTGCACAATAATAATAATATAATAATAATAATAATCCTTGCATTTGATATAGCGCTTTTCACGTCGGGAGGACATCCCAAAGCGCTTCACAGAACACACTGTAAAGTGAATGGACTGTATATTTGTGGGCGAACGCAGCAGCCAATTGCGCACAGCAATGTCCCACATACAGCCGTAGATTGAAAATGACCAATTTATTATTGTTTTGTTTTGGAGGGATTATTATTAGGCGCGTGGAGTAAGGAAACTTGCCCAAGGTTTCGCCCTCTGCCTGGAATTGAACTCAGGTCTCTCGCTTGCAAAGCGAGTGCTCTAACCACTGAGCTACAGGACTCCCACAAGACTTATTGCCTAACAAAAATACAGTACATGAAAAATTAGACCGTAGCACTATCGTTGTAACTGTATGTATAATGTATTTTTACAGTTATACAACAGTACAATATAGTGAAAACTGCTTAAAAGAAAAGGAGGCAATCTGACTGCAGCAATTGATTTACAATTGACATTTTTGTGGGAGATTTTCTGAAGTGCCAAAACAGCCTTTGGATCAAATTCTAAGAGATTTATTGCAAGGGTGAAGACTCACTAACTCGTGAAGATTGCTGGAATTCGTGTTGGCAAATCGCTTGGCATTCTCACCAGATGTTCTCTAGTAAAAGTTAACGTCCCTGGAAGACGCACGCCCCACGCAGTAAAATAGTTGTGGAAATGCAAAGATAACACCCTGTACTTCACACAGAAAACAAGGATAAGATCATCCATTTTACATGAAATTTCAATACATATGTTTTATCCGCAGTGGGGGCTTACTGACTGCCAGTGAATTGATTCTCCACCTGGCTGTGGCAGAGGAGGCACACACACACCCCACACACACACACTGCCCCCTCCCCACTACCACCCCCCCACACACAAACTGCCTCCTCCCCACCACCTCACACACACACTGCCCCCTCTCCACACCACCCCCATACACACACACACTGCCCCCTCCCCACCCCCCACACATACACACTGACCCCTCCCCACTACCCCACACACACTGCCCCCTCCCCACCACCCCACACACACACTGCCCCATCCCCACCACCTCAGACACACACTGCCCCCTCCCCACCACCCCACACACTGCCCCTCTCCACACACCCCCATACACACACACACTGCCCCCTCCCCCACACATACACACTGACCCCTCCACCCCACACACACTGCCCCCTCCCCCCCACACACACACTGCCCCCTCCCCAGCTCCCCACACACACACCGCCCCCTCCCCACCACCCCCACATACACTGCCCCCTCTCCACCCCCACACACTGACCCCCCCCCACACACTGACCCCCCCACACACACACTGACCCCCTCACACACTGACCTCTCCCCACACACTCCAACCTCCCACACACGCACTGGCCGCCCACCCCACACACACAGATCGCCCACTCACACACACTGACCGCCCCCCCACGCACTCACTGCCCCCCACACACACTCACTGCCCCCCACACACTCACTGCCCCCCACACACTCACTGCCACCCACACACTCACCGCCCCCCACACACTCATTGCCCCACTGACACACTGACTCCCCCGCCACATATTCATTGACCCCCCCCACACACTCACCGCTCCCCACACACTCACTGCCCCCCAGACACTCATTGCCCTCCCCACACACTCACTGCCCCCCAATCTCACTGCCTCCCCCACCATGCATACACCCACATGGACCCCCACACACACATTCAATCCCTCAGCCTTGTCCCCTCCCTCCCCAA